TGGGATGAGTATAAAGGGGACCAGGGAGAGACAGAATAATGGGAATAAAGAGAGAGGGGAAATGAGGAAGGAGAAGAAAAGAAGATATTAGTTAAAGACAGACCCCTTTCAGAACCCTGGACAGATCACAGTCAAGAGGACTAAGTAGAAAAATGAGAAGCAAAATGAAACAGTGAGGCGAACACACTGTTTGAACCACACCACCTGCTCTGATTGCTATTCTCAACGGCATTTTCACAAAGTCTTAGGTTTTTGTTTCTGGTCATATCAACCAGCAGTTTGTGTGCTAGCAGAGCAGACCTTTCTTTGCTTAAAATGGGATGCTTTTGTTCAGAACGACTTGTGTTGCACGCCGGCCCTCTGGGTTTAAACATGAGTGTTTTAATCTGTCTCTTTACCAGTCTCCTCCCCAGGAATGCGTGTAGTGTTGTATATCCTCTCACACTGAGCTGAGCACAAAGGAATGACAGTGCCTGGGATGCGACTCTGGGAAATGGAGGAGAAGACAAAGGTGTGGAGAAAAGAAACAAACAGAGGGACGCAGGAGACAGATTTAAGAGTACACAGTTTTAACAGTGAGAAGAGAAAGATAAATGAAGAGATAAAGAAAGAAAAGATTCAGAGAGAGAGAAGAGGTATAAACATGGGATGAGGATGTGATGGTGATGTCTGTAACAAGTCAACATCTGTTCCCCCCAGAAACTAAGAAACAAGCAAATATCAAAGAGAGACCATACTCAGGACCCATATAGACAACCAAATAACATTTTAATAGAATTCTAATATCACAGCAGAAAAAGTTCTGGTGTCTCAGAAATGGATATTTGGTGGGGAGAACACCTGCTGCAACAGCAGAAATAAACCTAAATAAAGAAAATCTTCCATACAAAGTACTTTCGTGAATAAACGTACAGGTTTTATCTCCTCTTTGTTGAGTTTCCTGCGGTAAAGGAAGAAGGCATGAATGGCGTTCCCCGCCCTGGCGGCCTGGATGGGTGTAGGAGTCACATACTGAAAGTCCTGAGGAGGGAAGGAGACACAAGTGTTCCTTAATTAAGATAAACTAAACTTCATATAAAAAAGGTTTTATTGATCTGTTTCTATAATATTCAGATTTTCGAATAATAAATAAAAAGGGGATGTTAATATAAATGTCCTGAACTCAGATTAAAGCTAAATTTCAGAATCCTCAACAATCAAATTTGAGACAATGTTTGCTCATTTCAAATGTTGAAAATAAAAAAAAGAAATAATTTAAAAAACATGAAATAATAAATCATAGCACAAGATAATCAACACTATTTGCATATAAACTCAAAGTCATGAAACTGATATTTAATGAAATGTGCCCCACAGGGTTTATCCTACTGTCCAGAAATAGCCACAACTATTTCAATAATGTTATATGTTTTATGTGTGTTTTATATTTAAAATAACCACAACACTTAAGTGGGATGTACAAAGGACTTAAAAAATGTGTGTGTGTGTGTGTGTGTGTGTGTGTGTGTGTCTGTGTGTGTGCGCGTGTGCGTGGGTGTCTATGTAAAAAAAAATATAAATTCTGCTATCCACAATTAGCTCATGACAATGTTTACTTTAAAGGTTTAAATAAATGTTACTTTAGTAATATTGAACCTGCTTAAGACATTAGGCTGATTAAATAATTAACTCTGGAAGTGATGAAAATATTTAAAATAAAAGAAGTCCAATGTAAAACATTTTTTTAATCTTTTTTTAACTAGCAAAGTATACATCTATTTTATGTGATTTATAATAATAATAA